ATACGATTTGCAAACCAATCCATACAATCTGCACCTCGAAAGCTCTCGAAATAAGAAAGGCTATCATCATAGCTGCATTTTACATAGAAACCAGCACTATACGGAACGTGTTTTTGATATTTTATGGTTTTAGTTAAATTTACGACGCTACTTTCTTTATGATTTTCTAATTGACATTCAAAATCTGCATAAACAACAAAAGAAGTATTTTGTTGGTATGTAAAGTTTTTAAATTCAACGCAGCTCTCTTTAGGAAGGTTAATTTTATATTTATTAAATTTAGAACACAGTTTTTCATGTTCAACTAATTTATTTTGCTGATGGAAATAGTTCAGACATCTATCGCAAATAAATTTTTTCTCACGATGTTTATTTAACTGGCTACTAATAAGACGCGAAAGATTTTTAATCCAACAATAGTGATATTTAATTTCATCGATTGAATCATTATCTTCATTTGCTGGCGCTGGTGGAGGAGCATCATAATCATTTAAACGCGGATAATATTTATTTTGAGCTAAAAGTAAATTAACATGCGTATCCCGTTTATTTTCCGTTAATCTTGCTGGTACTACTATGTAAAATGATTTTTTTTCTGTTTCGATCAATTCTAAAGCGTAAACATTGACTGAAATGTTATTCATCTTTTCAAATTTTGAAATTTTTGTTAGCAGCATAGGACTATCTAAATTTTCTGTTTGTAAAACGTCAGTAAAGTGTGGATATGAGGAGGTTAGTTCTGCATGTCTTTTTTTGCTAGGAGTCCGAAGAGCGCTTACAATGGCCCAGTAAAAGCAATTTTGATCTATATTTTTAATGTTTATACAAGCATTTTTCCTTATAATCGGTTCTGGTAGTCTAATATAAGATGAACCGTTTCCCAATTGATATTTACTGATATTAACAACTAAGGAAATAATTTTATTTAACGCAAATCCCGAATCTTTTTCAGCAAATTCCGATAATTCGTTTAAAAGTTTATCTTTCACATATATCTTAAACCACTCGTCTATTTGAGTTGATGTATCAATAATATGATTTTTAGTATTAATATATTTAATTCCCAAAATTTCATTATCCCCCGATTTCCTAATAAACTCCCCGCAAAATGTTGTATTTACTTTGAGCGCACAATGGGTGTTCAAAATATTCCTAATTTTCCTTTTAAAAACAACTACACAATCTGCTAAAAATTGATTCAAGTCCTTATGACGCAAATTAGCTATGGAACCGGTTTTTATTCTACTTTGAAAGCTCGATTCTACATTTTCCCATCTAACCCTCTGACCCAATGTTAAGTGAAGTCCTGCCCCAATATGTCTAGTTAAAATCAACTTTCTAAAATGTTTAAAATGCCCCAAATTTGTTTCTACTTTTCTACAGGTCCCTACAGATAATTTATTTTGCCTTCTACTACGAATTACCCGTTTACATAATCTAATTTGTTTTTCTATTCGTTTCAGCCACACTTCCGCGTCTCTGATTGTAAAATTATCAAATAAAATTTTCCGTAGACTAACAATTGATAGTAGAACACCGTCTGTTTGTTTGATGATCTTTTTAACCTTATTTGAAGACATTTGAAAAGACGACATTTTTTTTTTCAAGCAAACACATTACTCAAAAATATATAAAAATGCTCACCCTGTCCTCCTCCTCCTGTTCTCTGCTTTGTTAATTTTCCACTATTTTGAATGATGCTAGCGGTCGGCTTTTCCCTACGTCCACTTCCCCTTGGAAGATGATCGAGTATTTTCCGTGAAAAAGTTCGTCGATGACCGGCTGGTACGTTTCCGTCACCCGCTGTGGTAGAAATAGCACTTCCGGTCCTAAATCTAGTAGCACGGCTTCCCCAAATTTCGACTTGACCACTTTAGCTGCTTGGATTACAAATGGTGTCCCAACTGGTAGGTCCTTTAATTTTCTGATAGGTTTGCGGTCTACAATCGAAGACGCAGCATTAATTTTTGATAAATCCATCTATAAAAAAAAATTGAGTCGTCTAACTATTTTGAAGCATAACACGAAAAAAAAAAAAACAGTTGCACTTAGAGACATAAAAAAGATAAATATTAAATAAAATAGCACTTACTTTTTTTAAAATTTTCGCTATCTCGTCTCTCTCGAAGCACTATTGTACTGCGGCCGTTGTTCCAGCTTGCAGCGTTGTGCGTTAAGTGTGAAACAATGATGACTATTGCATGCGCTCGCTAAATATAAATACGTGGTTGAGATAACACACGCGTGCATGAGATAATTGTATCGTAAATATGCATATTATATGCATCATATTCTCAGTACCATTTTTATCGAGAAAACAACATTCATTGCGGTTGCAGTATTTTTTATATAATTTCTTAGTAATACATGAATGTATCGTTTGTCCGGCGGAAATTCCAATTACAAGTTGCACATGAGAGTAGAAATTTAGAAATATAGTAAATTCGTGTATGATTATTGTATATTTGCTGCCTAATTTTTTTTCAGTCAAGATTTTGATTGGGGGGTAAACGAATTTATATTTGCTATCTGAGATTTTTGACATCATTCTCTATCAGGTGTTGGTTCATGAAATTGGACATGCTCTCGGCATAGCACATAGTGCTTCTCCGAATGCTATTATGTTTGCCTTCTATCAGCATGAGATTCGTGGTCTAGATGTTGATGATATAAATGCAGTACAATATCTATATGGAAGAAAAAACAAATATGATTCAATCCCAACGTCTACCACCGCATCAGCAATACCAAAAACAACAACAACTATAAGATCTACAACTCGTAAGCAGCCGATCCTCAAAAATTTGTGTGATATTATTCCAGATTTTATGTTTTTAGCTATTGCTCCAGAGTTTTCAAATTACCGATTATATATTGCACATGATATGTTTATATGGAAACTAGACTTAAACGAAATGATTATCCCATCTCAGCCTGAACTTCTTGTCGATTATGTTCCTACAGAATTACGTCAATACACTTTACAACATATTTTCCAATCAACAAACGGTGACTTGATTACCATTGTGTCTCCAAACAAATATTTCTCAGCATCATTCCCTACCATTAAATTTCTTGATAATTTTTCAATTGATATACCCGATAGGGCTCGAATCAATGCTATTTTTCAATCAAACGCAGGACGGTCCTATACCTTTTATAATAATATGTCATATATAGAATTTTCTAACGATTTTACTGATGTGTTGAACAGAGGACGGATAAGAGACATATTTCCTGAATTACCTGAAGATATTTCTCTCGCATTTCGGTGGATTGATGGCCATATTTACTTTTTCCGTCACGCAACTTACTATAAATTTAATGAATTTACAAGAAAAGTTGTTGCGACCGGACCATTTCATTGGACTCTATTTGGAGTACCATGCCCCAGCGAGGATTTGTTACATAAACTAAAAACTCTGTTATCTAAACTTGTATCTGTATATCATTAAAAAATACATTTTTCAGAAAGCTATGTTTATTTCGTATTCAGCCTGTTGTCAAACAAAAAAAAAACAGTCGGTTCCTTCGACTCCCCACCCCCCCCCACCATCATTCTACTACATAAAGTCTGTGTATCAGCACTAGCAGTGCTACAGTATCAATCATTCAAACCAGTCGCAAGCAATTGTTTTGTTCAAAAAGAGGTAAAAAATGGTAAAACCAAAAATAACCAGCGAGGAGGCTCATTACGAGGCTTTTAGGGAAAAATTAAAAAACAACCAGAACTGAACCGTAAAATACATAATTTGATTCTTGTCTGTCATGAACCAAATCAGTTGTCGAAGAATGATTTGAGTCGATTAGTATCAACATCTAAAGTACTCCCTGATAATTACAAGAATCACTTAAAACGATCATTCAATCTACCTGCACGACCAGAACACAGCGATATTGATTCAGACGACACTGTAGGCAACTGAAAATTTCATACACACACACACACACACACACACCAATCAACCTTATTGTTATATATATACTATATGTTTCAATAAAATATCCATTATACTATTTTCATTTTGAACGGTATCATCCTGTATAATAATAACAGTACATCGTATACAGGTTATGAGACA